CTTGACGGAAGTCAGATGGTCAATGCAGAGGTCAACCAAGCCCATTTCAGTTTATTTGAATGCCACTAATAATGACTTCGTGAGAAGGACTAATCTGGTACAACTGCTAAATCACATAAGGTATTGGAAAGTGGCTGTAGGATTGCATTACTCACACAGTTGTAGTGAGGATTAAATGAGTTACTCTATGTAAAATGTGTAGACTAGCATGTGACATGTATGAGGGTACTTAAAAAGTTCTTGAAAAATGTAATTAAAAGTTAAATTTATTTTGGTGCCAAAACATTGAAATGCATGTGTAGATTTTTCCCCCACAATACACATTTTTCATGGACTTTTTGAAGCTTTTAATAAATTTTAGTTAGCTCTTGTTACTATTTTTGTTTTTTAACATGGTTTAAGCTGAAAAAATTGAAAGAAAAAGCCACCATTTCTAAGAACAAACAACTGAAAATGTCTCTTGCTCTTTTTTTTTCCCCCAAAATTCAGTTGTCACTGATAATTAAGAAACTTGATTGTAAAAGTCAACCATGATTCATCTTGCTAACCTCAATTTTCACTCTGGTAATTAAACTGTGTTTTGAATAGTCATTTTGAGATGCATAAACTCAAGAACATCTGCATACAAAACATGTAAATTTAAACACATGTATACACACACACATACACATACATTGTGTATATGTTTAGAAAGCAAGATGGTGATTGTAACTGCCAACTGGCATCCCTAAGAAGTTTCCATTGACTCTCAGGTATCCTTGTTCCCCACTGCAATGTCAAACCATCTCTCATTTTTGCATCCTGAAATTCAAAACCTTTGGCACAGCTGAAGTTTACATCATTAGACTTCACCACTGATTTGCCTTATTACTGCTGTTTCTTTCCAGCCCCAAGCCACAGCCTTTACCAGTTGATGCTTTTAGCAGCCATTACCTGCTAGCCCAACACTCTTATGAATGTCACTTTTTTTCAGGGGAAGGGAATGTCTTCAATATCCAAACAGAGGGGCTGGCGCTGTGGCTCAGTTGGTTAATCCTCCGCCTGCGGCGCCGGCTTCCCATATGGGCGCCGGACTCTGTCCCGGTTGCTCCTTTTCCAGTCCAGCTTTCTGCTGTGGTCCGGGAAGGCAGTGGAGGATGGCCCAGGTCCTTGGGCCCTGTACCCACACGGGAGACCAGGAGGAAGCACCTGGCTCCTGGCTTCAGATCAGCGCAGTTGCAGCCGTTGTGGCCATTTGGGGAGTGAACCAACGGAAGGAAGACCTTTCTCTCTGTCTCTCTCTCTCACTGTCTATAACTCTACCTGTCAAAAAAATATCCAAACAAATAATTGATCCCATTCTAGGTCCTCCAGTTTCAGACCTGCCTTTCTGTTAATATTTTCCCCCACCTAAACTAGTCATATTCATAAGATTATAACCTTGTCCTTGTCTCTACTTCCTCTGAAATCTTGATTTTGATTCTCTTGTGTCCTTCTAACCTGCTTATTTCACTATACACTCTTCAGCATTTCATGTTCCCCAGTGAAATGACCAATATCTTCATGAGTTGCTGGTTCATCACTACAACCACCCACTTGCAAGCATCCTTAACTCCACCCTCCTCCAACTCCTCTACTGGCCTTCCACTCACTTTCCTACTCACCTACAAAAATTTCAATTGTATTTAACTCAAGTAGCAGTCATTTCAGTACCTAGACCTGAGTCTGGAAGGTTTATGGGGGAAAACACACATCTGGTGATTGTTCGCACTTGGAATTCAGAGGCGTAGCTCTCCTGTGAATCCCCCCTGCATAGCATTCTGCCTCACCTCTCTCCATGGAGCAGTGCCTTTGTCACTCTCCACAGCTAGTGTTTAATGCTTGTCTCTCCTTCCCCTCACGTGTCACCTGATATCAAGCCTCAGGATTCGTGGCAATGACAGGAGCTACCAGTTAGGGGTGCCCGCATTCACGCTCGTCCAGCCGACTGAAGGACTAGCAGCAACAGTTGTCCTCCCATTCCGTCTGGACAGCGGTGACACATGTGCTTTTGCATCTTCATTGATGAATCGGCAGTCCACTAAGCCATTGGTAAAATGGATGGTGCATCTGTCCCCATGTAAAGCTGACCTTGCCTCTTTGAATGTTATCCTTCCTTGCCTTCTCACCTTTGTTCTTTTTTTTACTTTTTATTTTTATTTGACAGGTAGAGTTATAGACAGCGAGAGAAAGAGACAGAGACAAAGGTCTTCCTTCCATTGGTTCACCCCCCAAATGGCCACCATGGCTGGCGCTGTGCCAATCCAAAGCCAGGAGCCAGGAGCTTCCTCCTGGTCTCCCATGGGGTGCAGGGCCCAAGCACTTGGGCCATCCTCCGCTGCCTTCCCGGGCCACAGCAGAGAGCTGGACTGGATGAGGAGCAACCGGGACAGAACCCAGCGCCTGTATGGGAAGCCGGCGCCACAGGCGAGGATTAACCAAGTGTGCCACGGTGCCGGCCCCTCACCTTGGTTCTTGAAAGTGCCCTCCTTTCACTGTGGCATTAATATCTTCCTTTTTGCTAAAGCATTCCTTTTGTCAAACATTTTATATTTTGGGAAAAAAAATATGCCCACAAATGCACATTTTCATTCACACCATCTTCTATGCTTCTCTGCACAGCAGAGGCAATGCAAATGGCATGAAAAGCCTGCTACCATTTCTTTTCTGCTTCACCCCTCCACACAGGCTTTCTAGACGATGCACTGCCCCGTTCCCAGGGCTTTTTTATTCACATTCTCTCAGTGTGTGCGCTCACCCAGTTTTACAGACCTTATCTGCTTGCTGGCCACTCCCAAATATACATTCCCAGATTTTATCTTTCCCTGTATGATTACCTGCCAACTGTACTATAATGTCTCATCGCATCTAACTTTACAGCATTGAAATAAAACTTGAGTTTCTCCCCAAATCTTCTGTCACAGTAGCCCCCATTTTAATAAAGGCAACGCTACCTATCCAACTGCTTCAGCCAAATATCTGTGGGTCATAATTCTTTTCTTCACCTTCTCACATCAAAGGCATCGGCATGACCTTTTGGTTTTTACCACTGAAGCATAATCACTAGAATGTGAGTTTATTTTGGGATTGCATTCTGTCCATCCTGCTCAGCAATGTGTATTCTGAGGACCTAGGTAGTGCCTGACACATAAAATAGGAAACCAATAAGTGTGGAATGACTGGATCCTGAATCTGGCCATTTCCCTCCATTCTCACGATCAATACCAATGTCTCACACCTACTAGAGGGCACTTCAAAAAGTTCATAGAAAATTTGAATTAAGCATTTTATTTTGCTGCAAAAAATTGAAGTATGTATAGAGTTCTTTCATAAAATGCATTTTCTATGAGCTTTTGGAAGACCCCTTGTATTTCTGCAATATCCTCCTGCTATTGCTACTCTTGATCCCATGGCTATGCACTTAATAGCCTATTTGCTATTTTGAAACTCACCAGCGGATTCCAATCAGTTAAAATAAAATATATTCCCTTATACTGTTCTATACAGTACTATGTGAACCTGAAATTACCCGTTTCTCTAACCTTATTTCCTACTTCTTTCTTATTCTGTACTGGTTTTTCATAGTATGCATTTTTCATGAAATTTCTGAAGACTCCTTGTGTTTCTCTTTCTGTGCAGATTATGTACAGGGAAACATTTTGCAGATGCAGGGCAGGACTCAGTGAGCTCATACACATATAAGCCCCTCAATGAAAGCAATGTTTAACTCACAAGAAATGTTCAATATACATCTGGATATTTGGCAATATTAAGCCAACAGTTTAACATTAAACCAACAAGTTTCATTTATGAAGTTTTTAGGGAACAGCTTTTTAAAAATGTCTCTGATCTGCACATAAAATTTTAACTGCAGTTCTCTAGCGATATGACTGGCAGCAATATTCTTCATATCAAAGGTTATGTTTGTCTCCCAGCGTCTTAAACCGAAAACAGGTGCCAGCCTTCTGGTGTCCTCTATGAGACTGGATTATATGGCAGAACAGTGTTTTCCAAATGGATGCATACCCTGGAATTGCTTGCAGAGCTGCAGAAATACTGATGCCTGCGCCGTATCCTGAGTTTGAGATTTAATTAGTGGGGTGTGGTCAAGGCTTAGTAGTCTTGAGAATCCCCTGGTGCTTCTAATGTGTAGGTAAGTTTGGAAAACATTGAACTGGAGAGCTTGAGTTAGGTATTTCACATCTCAAATCTCTGAATAGTGTAAAGCCTAGATTTTTGCAATAAAGTTTAGGTTGCAACAATAAAATCAACCTCACTGCATTTATCAAGCTGCAGTCTACATGAGTAGAACATTATTTACATAAGGCAGAGCAACTGATGAAAAGTCACATTGGTTATGGGCATACCCCCCCCCCCAACACACACATTGTCAGTATTCAAAACAACCATGAATTTAACATAACTTTGTCAAATTGAGTATATTTCCCCAATTAAGGTTGCCAGATAAAAAAGGGACAGCTCAGTTAGATTGGAATTTCACATAAATGACCATTTTACAGTATACACATATCCCATACAACATTTGGGTCATACTTATACTAAAAATTGTTATTTATCTGAAATTTTAATTTAACTGCATACCCTGCATTTTATTTGCTAAATCTTACAATTCTGCCTTAAATAAAATTTTTAATGGGCAATAGCACATATTTATGGGCTGCAATGTGACATTTCCATGCGTGTATAAAATGTGTACTGATCAAATCAGGATAATCAACATTTCGCCTTCTTTCACATTACTTTGATTGGAGCCTTGAAACTCCTTTCTCTGCTCATAAAATACATACCTGAGTTTTAAAGGACTAACTTGAACAGTAGTAATTCAATGTAGTCAGACAATGAGGACAAAAATTAACCTTAACTTTTTGCTTGTTGTATGTTCGTTTGTTTTCTGAGTTCCATTGCATGGTTAACCACCTCAAACTCTACATGACTTGTTCTGCACTGAGGGCCAACTGTACCTTATTCTGCCTCTTCTGTCGTCTTCGAAGACGCAGGAACTCCTTATGTTGCCTGGAGACAAAGTTCACTGCTGCATATTCCAGTAAGGCAGCAAACACAAACAGAAGGCACACCGCCATCCAGATGTCAATCGCTTTTACATAGGACACCTGGGCGGGGGGAGAGAGAGAGAGAGAGAGAGAGAGAGAGAGAGAGAGAGAGAGGTGATGAAAACGTGCTAGGAACCCAGAGTGCAATGTTGTGAACAGCAGAGTAACCTGATTTCCTTGGTGAAGGATTTTCTGGCCTTTCCTTACGAAAGTGCTTAAGGAAGGCATCAATTCCATTTTGAAGGTTCAGGGCAAGTCAGTGGAAGTCACACACCTCCCTGGCCTGGCCCTTGTCGCATCTCCCTCAGTATAGCCACCTGCTCAAAGACAGTTCTTCCCTGAGGCCAGCTCTGGAGCTAACAAGGCTTCCCTTAGAGCAGATTTTAAGCATCATTACCACAAAAGAGTATGCAAGGTGATACATGTGAAAAACCTTGATGTAACCATTCTGTAAGGTATACACTTATCAGAACATCATTTTATTCACCACAAGTATGTGTAGGGTTTACTTGCCAATTAAAAATTCCCTTAGTGAAATAAGAAAAACAGAACTTTGAGATAAAAAATAGAATGCATACTATTATTAAAACTGATAACTTCTATTTTTTCTTAATATTTACAGCCTAATATAATTAAGGTAATCTTGAAAACTTGGCTGAGAAATAAACTATGTACAGTCACAGGTCCTTCCAAAGCCAATTTGTAATTTCCATCAATTTATTGATCCTAACTGACATGGAAAACTGTTCTAAATATTTTTAAACTCACAATTAAAGAGTATCAAGCCAAACCAAAGTGAGACATCAGGGATTTATCCTTAAGAAGGTATCTGGTTTAAAAGAAAACTTGTATAACTCTTCAGTGTTTATTAAATTTTGTAATTTGACAGGACAAATTCTGAAGACAAATACAAGAATACTTAAAAAGGTTTATGGAAAATGGAATTAAAAGATTATTTAGGTGCATAAAAATCTAAAACCCATGCATATGAGGGGCCTTCAAATTTCATGGCAAATGGTATTACAGAAAATTACGCATGGACTTCAAAAGATATTTTGTACCAGAATAAATTTATCTTGAATTACATTTTCTATGAACTTTTTGAAGTACCCTCATACTTTTCACGTGCAATGGAAAATGCCCTCCCTCTTACTCGATTTACAAAAGTTTTTAAAGTATAACGGGGGAAATAGCTGCACCAAGTTGTGATGTATTAGATTTGACTACAAGAACACTTACCAAGTTAGCAGCTGAAGGTGTCTTAGCCACTTCTAATTTTTAAATACATTGCCCTAGTCTTTAACGTTTAGCGGTAAGTGCTCACTTTAAGCATTTCACATGTATTAATTTTGTAACCCTTGTAAAAGTAGTATTATGCACATTTGCTTTTTTAAAAAATGTATTTTATGTATTTGAAAGGCAGAGTTACAGAGAGAGAGAGAGAGAGGGAGAGAGGGAGGGAGGGAGGAACAGAGAGAGAGAGATGTGGGGGCCCAGGAATGGGAGCCATCCTCTGTTCCCTCCCCAGGTGCAGGATAGGAAGCAGATCAGGCAGGAATTGAACTCGCATCCATATGGGATGCTGGTGCTGCAGACTTCAGCTTAAGCCACTGTGTCACAGTGCCGGCCCCTACTCATTTTCTGAGAGGAACCTGAGGTATACAGGGGTTAAGTTATTACCCAGTGTCACAGAACTAATAAATTACGGACCTGAGACTGGAATTGGAATTGAAACTTGGTCTGATGAGTAGATTTCCTTTCTGAACATACACAAACACACTATTAGGATCATATAATTTGGATTTTGCATTTCCCTTCCATTTTCATAGTGAACACTTCCCATGTCATTTAACTTTCATTTAAATCATAATTTCCAATGCTTGCATAATGGTCCATATCATGATTCATCATTCTACTTTCTAGGACATTTATTTTCTATTTTATTTTTATGACTATTAATTTTGTTGCTACGAATATTCATCTCCCAAAATATTTGACTGTTTCTATTAGGTCAATTTTTCGATTAGTTACAAGGTAAACAATATGAAAAGAGGCTCTTGACTTTGAAAGTTAGCAGCACCAAGGATGTTAAAAGCAGAGACTCTGGAGAGAGATGCCCTGAGTTAGATACAGTGCTCTGCTACTATTTCTAGAATGTTTCTGGGTTTCTTAGCCTCCTTCTGCCTCCATTCCTTACTTGTAAAATAGGAACAATCATAGTACCTATCTCCTAGAGGTTTTCAGTTGATGAAGCTACTTCATACATACATATATATATATATATATATATATATATAAACTTAGAATAGTGTCAAGCACAGAATAAGTGCTATATAAATGTTTGCAATTATTTCGCTACTTAAGGGCATGAAATGGAGAACTTTTGGAAAAGACAAACCAGGAAGATACAAATCATCCACAATCCTAACATATTCTAATTATTAAGATTATCGCCTGTATTAAACTATTGGTCTCACACAATCTGAACTGTTAGTCCCATATATGTTGTGACAAAGTAGTCTGTTACTTCATCATCCCCAGTCCTTTGATTATAAGGGGTCTTTAAAAAGCTCATGAGAAATGCATATTATGATTAAAATATGCATATATTTCAAAATTTTATACCAAAATCTACAATTTAGTTTTATGTTCCACAAAATTTTTGAGGTATCCTCCTCGTATGTCACTACTCCTATGTGGAATGCTTGTTCCCATTCTTTCTGCTTAAAGGATTTTTCAGAATTCTTCAAGACCTGGCCCAGACACCAGCTTTCCTGCGAAGCCTCCTTCGTCTTTCCCTGTTCTCCCATCTGGATTAGGGGCCACTTTCCTTTGTTCTCTCACCAACTGCTGTTGGACTTGTCCATCAGCTGCTCAGATTTTATCCTCAGTCTATAAGCTTGTTATGGTTTTAAAACTCTGTTTACTTGATCTTGAGGGCAGGCCCTGTGCAGTATTAGATTTGGTATCAGCAGCATAGCACCTAGCAAGTAGCGGGTAGGCATTAATTGTGTGGGGTCAACAGAGGAATGGTTGAATGACTGAATGAAAGGAAAAGGGAAGCAAGGAAGGACATATCTAGCTATCTTTACATCTTTCTGTTTTAATTTCAACAATTTTAAGCTATATACTTACTATTAGCCACCCTTGTATATATTTGATACTTGTGAGATTGGGCTATTAGTAAATTTTTATTCTCTCAGTACACTCAGGACTCCTGGAAATTTTTTCTGTCCTTAATAAGTAATAATTTGTCTTATATTTGGTCTTCTGAAGTAATCTTATTCCCCTGTAATAAAAGAACATTACCAGTTACAGAACTCTAACTTACAGATTATTCCGATGGTCTGTAAATGTTTTAAGGCCCAATAATGAGAGGAATTTGTCAATGCCTGAGATATGTCCATACCAGGAGCCAAGTGCAATACAGATGACCATCGTTCCTCCTCTTTCCTGGCATTTACAGCTTTCAGTAATTTGTAAACCTCTTCCCATTCTCCTCCTGGTTGTCAGTAGGCCAAGCATGTATTCTTTTTTAGTTGCTCATAAATGAATTCATTCTGTCTCTTAATCATTTTGCTTAGTCTCCAAGTTTCCTCCAAATCACAGTTGCCTTTTAAGCACTGAAGTACCGACATTAAATGCATTATTCACATAGATTTAAAGGGTGTTATGAGACCCCCGTTACACATGATCTGATGTCCCCCAGTGCTGGTCTCCCAGGATTGACATTCCTTTTCCTTGCTCTTATCCAGCTCTGATGTCCGATTCTTTCCCTTTGGCTGCTAAATCATAGATGTTTTCAGCTCACATCTTCCCTTGTCACATTCTTTTTATCATTCTGGGGCTTACATGACTCCTTCCTGAACTACTTTCCTTCAAACTTGCAGGATAGTTTTCAAAGGTAATTAAGCACTCAAAATGCTGTTATGACTTACTGAATTGATAGTTTTCAGGCATACTTAATTCAGAAAATCTCATGGAGGGTTGACAACATGGAGGAAATTGTGTTAGGTGCCGGTAGGCAGCAGGACAGCAGATACAAAGATGACTACCATGCACATTGATTACTCCCAGGACACTGCAGATTACACTTGAGGGGAGCCTGTTCATAGTGTGGTCCCCAAGGGGTCACTCATTTAGATCAAGGAGCAAGAATTATGGCCCATGGATCCAATCTGGCTCATCTGTTTTATAGGTAAACTTTTATGGAACATGACCATACTTATTTATTTACATATTGTCTATGGCTACTTTTGCGCTACAATGCCAGAGTTGGCTTGTTGTGACTGAAACCAGATGCCCCAGAAAACCTAAATGGCCCTTTGCAGAGAGAAATTCCTAGCCTTTGACCTAAACTGTGATGTTGGCTGATTTTGTCCTGGAGTTGTACATCCTAGTGGTCCTGCTTCAATGCTTAATAAACCACAGTATGGGGTGAGCAATTGGAATACTGCTCTGGATGCCTGTATCCATGTTAAAGTGCCTAAGTTGGTGTCCTGACTCGACTCTTGATTCAGACTTCCATCTAATGCACACTCTCAGAGGCAGCAGGTGGTGGCTCAAGTACCTCTATCCCTGCCATCCATGTGGGATATCTGGCTTGAGTTCTGGGGTCCTGGCTTTGTCATGCCCAGCACAGGTAGTTGTGGGCATTTGAGGAGTAAATCAGCAGGTGGAAAGTCTCAGTCTGTCGCTGTCTCTCAACTAAATACAAACAAATTAGCAAAACTTTAAAAGGAGAAATCATGGTATGGAGAGAGAGAGAGATTCATGTGAACATGTAACTGATACAAGGTCAATGGTTTCATATGCCAAAATAGAGAAACCCCAAATCTGGTGATTAGTATGGAGTTAGTGTTGACAACAGAAATCAAAAAAGGTTTTTCTTTATTCCTAAATGGTGGGGCACTTGATTCAGTGCCTGAGGAAAGCCAGGACTTGGAGTAGAGAAGAAGGTGTAAAAAGCAAAGTCGTGAAATGAGAGAGAACAGTGGGCTCTGAGGATGGTGAGCAAGCCAGTGACTTTGATATGCTGGGTGTCTGGGAGGTGCAGGGGG